TGCCCGGCGAAACGGCCCCCCCCGGCGGGCCCCAAAACGCCTCTTTTTCCCCCCAAAAAACAGGGCGAAGGGGCCCCGGCTCTGCGCATGGAGATAGGGTCATTTTTGGTCTAGAATCTTTTTTTTTTACATTTTTGGTTCTTTGAGGTTTCTTTTTTTTTGTTTTTGCCTTTTTTTGCCTTTTTCTTCTTTTTTTTTGTTTTTTTTTTGCTTTTTTTTTTTGGTTCTTCCAACATCGTCTCCCCCCTTCCCGCATTGGTTTTGGAGGGGTCACATTTTCCCCCCCTTTTTTGTGTCTTTTTTTTTTTTTAACATTTTCCCTCTTTTTCCTACAGGAAGGAGCGATGAAGCCGACGCAGAATTCCTCTCTGTATATATATATAAAATAATAATTAAAAAAAACACCCAAAAAGGGGGGAGTTTGCCCATTTCCCCCCCAAAACCGCCCTCCCTCCACCCCAAACCCCCAAAACCCACCCCAAAAACTCCCTTTTTTCCTTTTTTCTTCCTTTTGCTCCATTAAAAAAAGAAAAGAAAGGCAAGAAAAAAGGAAAGAAGGGAAGAAAGAGCAAGATCACGAAACAGGTACATTCCACGTAGAAAACGCGGCCGCGGCGGCGGCCGGGTTGAAAAAAATGCGTTTTTTTGTTTTTTTTTTCGCTTTTTTTTTGCGTTCAAGTCTTTTCGGTGTGTGTCGTCGTCGGTGCGTCGCGGGGTTCTTTTTGGTGTGAAAACCGGTGGTTTTGGGGCGCCGCTGGCCGTTTCACAGTATTCGCGTCCGTCGCTGCTCGAGCCCCAGCGCTGAGGGGAAACGGGGAGGGAAAAAGGGCAAAAAAGGGGGAAAAAACGCAAAAAGCCGGAGCCGGGATGAGGTCGCGGGGTTGGGGCTCTCATGGCTAAACTTCCTTCTCTGCGAGGAGCAAGACTTTGGTTCAGCGGCGCGGGGCCGTTTCGAGGCCGTTTGGCACCGTTTTGAGGCAGTAAACGGCACGTTCGGGGGGCGGCGCGGCCGGGGGGGGCAACGGAGC